GTTCTTCAGTGTCTCTGTGTGATATTAAACGATAGAGAGACTCTCTGTAAATCTTCTTTCTGATGTTCACATGCACACAAACTCATTAAATCTCACATAGTTACATTTGTATTCATTCATTTTTAATCAGTTTGTCATTGTTCTCCAGAAGTTATAAATCTAGATCAGACACACTGTTCTGAATCTTTAATAAACACAGTAATAAGGTTGCTTTAATATCTATATTGTAAACTGATCATCAAATGTAATAAGTTCATTAGTGCCTCATTGAATGATGAAGTGGTGTCTGAATCTCTGATGTGAACTGATGACAGTATGAATAATCATGAATGTGACTGAGATCAGCAGAATGAAACAGAGGCTGAATTGACTCAGAATGCTTTATTGTTCTGTCTGCGCTGATTTAACACTCGATTCACTAAATGAATTCTGTACAAACACTCACAGTATCGCTGCTGAACACAGTTGATCTGGCTGTGATTCCAGTCTTTCAGGAGCTTCAGAGCTTCAATCTGCTGCTTGATCTAGAAAATCTTCATCAGCATCTCTTCTTCTGAAATGATGGTCTTTTCTGCTTTATTAGGTCTCCACGAGCACAACAGCTTTATATGACAGGAGCGACACAGCAGCCTCTGAGCCTCAGCTCGCACTCAGATATCTCTAGAAATAACATTCAGTTTCATTCAGAAATCTACATTAATATAGTGCTTTATGTGCAATCAGAAACTAGACTTTAACATCTTATATTAGGCTCTTACTCTGAAAGCTACAAAGAGAATCAACATTTCTCTGACAGAATTTATGTGCATTTAAAATGTAATCTACAAAGACAAAAATAAAAAAAATGTTTTTAGTGTACACGAGTTTCAGAGAGAGAGAGTGTGAGTGTGTAAGTGTGTGCATGCGCGTGCGTGAGTGTGTGTGCGCGTGTGTGTGTGTCTGTGTGAGTGAGTGTGTGTGTGTGTGAGTGAGAGTGTGTGTGTGTGTGAGAGAGAGTGTGCGTGTGAGTGTGTGTGTGTGCGTGTGAGAGTGAGTGTGTGCGTGTGAGAGTGAGTGTGTGCGTGTGAGAGTGAGTGTGTGCGTGTGAGAGTGAGTGTGTGCGTGTGAGAGTGAGTGTGTGTGTGTGAGTGTGTGTGAGAGAGTGTGTGTGTGAGTGAGTGTGTGTGTGTGCGTGTGAGAGTGAGTGTGTGCGTGTGAGTGAGTGTGTGTGTGCGTGTGAGTGAGTGTGTGTGTGAGAGTGAGTGTGCGTGTGTGAGTGAGTGTGAGTGTGAGTGAGTATGTGCGTGTGAGAGTGAGTGTGTGTGTGTGAGTGTGCGTGAGTGAGTGTGTGTGTGTGAGAGTGAGTGTGCGTGTGTGAGTGTGTGAGTGAGTGTGTGTGTGTGAGAGTG